GCAGGGACTCGGAACGGCGGATGAAACCCTTGGACAAGTTCTCTTGGATGTAGGTGTGGAGGGCGTCCATCTCCGGCTTGGAGAGGTTGTAGACGGGCCCAAACGTCGGCGACGCACCTTCGACCAACGGGATCGTGTGGTCGTAAGGGCGGTGCTGGGGGAGCTTGTCGGCCTCGGACTTGGAAAACACCTTGGCAAAGGACGAGTACTTGGGGGGACAGAGGGCTCGGCCTTGGGCTTGGCTCCAGCGTCGACGGAGCAGAGGGACAGGACTCGGGCAGCATCCAAGAGGAACAACTTCCAGGCCTTCCTTCTGGACGGCGTGCTGGAAGGGGATGCTGCCGATCAGGCTGACGCTGGGTAGGGACTGGGTCGTGGTCTTGGGGACGGCAGGAGGCAAGGCAGGACTGGGCTTGGGCACGGCAGGAGGCAAGGCAGGGAGGATCTCGGGCACGGCTGGGGACTTGGCTGGGGACTCGGCAGGAACAATCTTGGACTCGGGCAGGGACACGGCAGGCTCGGCGGGGACCTCAGCAGGGGACTCGGCAGGGCTGGACCTAGAGGACTGTGGCTCGGGAGAGAACGGGGAGGCCAAACTGTGGATAGAGGTGCAAGGCAAGAAAATAGAGTCATGGTGCCAGTCAAAGTAGGGTTTGTGTTTCTTGATCCAATCCATACCCAAGATGATCGGGTATGAAGCCAAGGGAATCAGCGCGAACGAGATTTGTTCATAGTGGCTGATGCCTGTGATCATAGAAACACAAACTCCAAGACTAGACTCCATCGAAGAACCATCGGCAAGAGTGATGACGAAAGAAGTTTCAAAGGTGGGGAGAGCGTGGGTTGCGGCGAATCCAGTGTCCATAAACGAAGTAACCGCGCCGGTATCGATCATGGCGGTTGCCCGTATGGACTCTGGACCGCACAGCAGAGTCACAGCGAGGGATGGCTGACGTTGGATGTCAGGCTCGGGAGGCGAAGACGAAGAAGCAAGAGCGGTGGAAGCGGTGGCAATGGTGACGGGGGCAAGATGGCAAAAGGCAGAAGAGTGATTTACCGTGGAGACATTTACAGGAGGAAGATTTATGACATGATTGACGCCTAGGAAAGCTCCTCCGACCTTTTCTAGGCAGAGAAGTTTTCCTGGTCGTCAAGTTTATTCACATCAACGACAGCCAAAGAAGCATCGATGGCAGCCAAGCGGGAGGATGCCTTATTGGGGCAGCGAAGGGCAATGTGCCCTTCCTGCTTGCAATAAAAGCAGCGGTTGGCAGCACGGAGGGCGGCCTTGTCCTCGGCGGTCAGCCTGCGAGCGGAAGCCTGACTGAGGTCCATGGGCTGGGGAACGTTGAAGGCTTGAGCGGGGCGAGGAGGAGGAGCAGGAGCGAAGGGACGAGGAGCCGGACGGAAAGGGAGAGGAGCCGGACGAGCAGGAGCAGGAGCAGGAGCGGAGCGGTGGTTGGGACGGCGGGAGCGTTGGTCCTCCTGGCGGTTGTCGATGGCGATCGCCGCTTGCATGAGATCTTCGAGGTTGTCGAAGGAGCGGCGGGAGAGTTCATCTTGAACCGAGGGCTTGAGTCCACTCTCGAAGTGGAACATGAGAGGGTCTTGGGACCAAGTGACGAGGTGGACGGCTTGGCGGCGGTACTCGGCGGCATAGGCGGCGGCGGAGGTGACTTGGTAAAGCCTGACCATCTCGCGAGCAGCGGCGATGGTGGGCTGGACCTGGCCAAAGGCAGCACGGAGCCACTCGGAGAAACCGGCAAAGTCACGGATGGCAGGGGGAGAGCACTCGGGGTCTCTCTCCAACTGATCGATGTACGGCTGCATGTAGTCTGCAGCAGTACCATCGAGATAGGATAAGGCGTAAAACACCTTATCCCTTTCAGTCTGGAAGAGGGGAGGGTTGGACACGAAGGCCAGTCTGCAATGCGAGAGGAAGGCATTGCAGCGGCTCGGGTCCTTACCAGAGAAGCGGTCGGGAGGACCTATCTGCCTGGTGGCAGAGTTGCGACCAGCAGGGTTGTCCTCGGGGTCTTGGGCAGGATCATCGACGTCGTCAGGTACGCCGAAGTAGGGGCGACCTGCACGACGGATCGGGGCGGGAGCGGGAGCAGGAGGAGGTAGCTGGGCCTGGTAGCTGCGGAGGGCCTCCTGGACACTGGCGGCGACAACTTGGCGGACATCCTCTTCACGGCGAGCCAGGACCTGGTCCATACGATCGGTGATGCGGTTGAGCGCATCATCCTGATCGTGGAGGAACTTGGAGAAGTCCTGGAGAGAACGGGCGTTCTCGGCGGACTGGATAATGACCGCACGGATGGCCTGGAGCTCGGGCTCGGAAAGGCCAGAAGGGGAAGCCATTGGTAAAAGAGATAGAGAAGGGAACGGGGGCAAAGGCAGGGCAAGTGGGGGGTTGTTGAAGGTCTTGCCAAGTGTCAAGACTGGACAACGGGGCAAGCAGGGAAGTGCGCAAGAGTCCTAATACAAGACTCGAACGTAGGGAGAGGAGCGGGGACTGGACTGGGACACAGAGTGTCAAGTGTAAAGCCAAAGTTTTATTCTAGATCCAAGGCTTAGGATACTAAAAATACAAAGTGGCAAGACGAAGGCAAAAGACAGAGGCTGGTCGGAGGGCTATTTATGCGAGCGCCAAGGATCGACGCTGGAGAGCGAGGGGGTAGGAGCGAAGCAGCGGCGGGGAGGGCGAAGCAGCGAGCGAAGCAGGTGGCGACCGTGACTCGGGATCCGTGAGTCAGCGGGCGTCAGTGGCGGCGGCATGGCGGCGCCAAGGCGTCAGGCGGCGTCGAGGCGGCGTCGTGGGCGTAACCCATGACCAACAGCAAGGAAGCGGGAACGGAACACAGACAGCGCGCGTGCTGGCGGTAAGACAACAAGGCAGCACAGCGCGGGAAACAAACAAACAGAAGGAAGGGAAAGCACTAAGACAGGCAAACAGAAAGGAAAGGGCAAGGGTAAAGGAAGGAAGAGGGCAAAGGCAGAGGGTGTTCATGACACATCCCCGACCCAGCTCTGCGCGACCGCCTCGACGACGCCCAGATGACGGCCCTCCGCACCATGTTCCGCGTCGGCCCCGGCACTCCCGTCGGTGCCATGCACCTCAACTGCGGCCTTCCCAAGATGTCGGTCCGTGTCAAGATGCTGGCCCTGCAGAACTGGGCCCGCTGGGACGACCAAGTCTCTGACGGCGACAAGATGCTGTCGATGATCCTGCGCAACAAGATCATTGCGCCCTACCACCCCGACCAGTTCCTCGGCCAAGGAGTCCGAGCCGATCCGCACTGGGCCATGGTGGTCCGCCGACAAGAGGCCGACCACTCCCTCACGGCCACGGAGATCTACCGAGGCAAGACCCGACACCAGCCGCCGCCGCCCGGACCGCCCCGACCCCAGCCCGTCCCGATCAAGACCCTCATCTTCGAGGACCACATGAAGAACGGCTTCGACCGCTCCAAGCAGCTCACCGCCGCCTGCACCCCGTCGACCAAGATGTCGGGACTCTGGGAGGCTCGCGGGTACCAAGGATCCATGATCATGCTCATGTTCATGGTCCGATGGCGACTCGGTGCTCTCCCAGGCCACTTCAGATTTGGCTACCGCAAGTGCAAGAACCTGGCTCGACACGGATCCGGGATCGACTTGACCAGGACCCACGCACAGCAGTGTGTGGATCCGCATCAAGTCCTGGTCCGCAAGGTCGCAGCCCTCAAGACGGCCCACCCGACTTGGGTGGAAAGTGGTATAGCCGGAGTGGGACCAGTGGACAAGCTGCTGGACCTGCTCAGTTTCGATCGCACTCCCCCTCGCAGTCGCACCCCTCCCGCACTTGGATCACTTGCTGCTCATGTACCCGCTCCCCGCACTGCCTTCCGAGCATTCGCACTTGGTGCACACCCAGCACCACCACCCACTCCCACACCCAGTGTAGTCCCACCCTTGCAGTCTCTCCCTGCACCCTCATCACAGCGTAGTATAGTGTCAGCACTTGTCATTCCTCCACCCCGACCCCCCCTCGATCCTGCTGTTCCCTTGTGGGAACTGCTCGAAAATGTGTTCACCCGCTTGGTCTCAGACCTTGTGGGCAGCTGAGGCAGCACTAGGCTGCAACAGGAGTAAATAGGCTTGCCTGTGTACTCAACGTGCCGGGGTACCAACCTGTTGGACCTGATGGCTTGTCTTCTTGAATAAAGTTGACTATAGTAACAAAAAAAAAAAAAACCTGATGGCTTGTCTTCTTGAATAAAGTTGACTATAGTAACAAAAAAAAAAAAAAAACCTAACCTAACCTAACCTAACCTAACCCTGACACATCGAGTTCTCTGCTCCTGCCGCACCTATCCTGCTCCTGCTGCACCTGTCCTGCTCTTGCTGCACCTGTCCTGCTCTTGCTGCACCTGTCCTGCTCTTGCTGCACCTGTCCTGCTCCTGCTGCACCTGTATTGCTCTTGCTGCACCGTGTGGCCTGCACCACACTGCTTTCACCTCTGTGTTTGTTCCAGCTCTGCCCCTCCAGTTCCCCGCCCTCGCTCCCACACTCCCTGTCCCCTTCCCCACTGCTGAGCGATGTCCAAGGACAGACCCCAGCAGTCCCTTCTCCCGGCCTCGACCATCGCTGTCGGCAGCTTGATCTTCAAGCGCAAGGAGCGACCCGTGGCCACCCCTTCCTCCCCCGCCAAGCGTCGCCTGTCCTTGCCCGACGCAATGACCATGCTCCCCAGGCCGGAGCATGACGAGCGTCTCCCCGAGTCCGAGTTCCCGTCCGTGTCCGTGCCCGAGTCCAGGCTCCCGGCCCCGCCCGAGTTCAGGTTCCCGGCCGAACCCGACTTTTCGTTCCCGCCCTTGGACCGCGCTGCCGCCCGTGCCGCCGTCGACATTGATGAACTGGAGGACATCAATGTCGAAGAAGACCTCAGCCCGGACCAAGAGCCTGACGCTGAGCCCTCGTCCTCCTGTGCCGACCAAGACCACCCTGCCGAGTCCCTGGCTCCCGTGTCCTCCTCCGCCGCTCCCCACCAAGACCACTGTGCCATGGACATTGTTGTCCAGCCCAGTGCCGACGTCGTCTCGGTTCCTTGGCGCGACGAGTTCTGGCGCAAGTGGCACGCCTCGTCCGACGTCGATGATCAGAAGGCTGCAACCCAGATCATCGACGTCACCAAGATGAACAACCAGCTGTGGATGGCCGTGACCGCCAAGCTGCAGTGCACTGTCCTGTGCCGCAAGTGCAAGCTCGCCTCGGCCGATCCCTGGATCGTCGTCAAGCACGGCAAGGACGAGCTCCAGCTCAAGTGTCCCCAGGCCCTCGAGGACGGACCCTGCCCCGGCCAGATGTCGGCCTTCCAGTTCTGGGCCCACATGAGCCGCACCACCAAGGAGTCCCGCAAGCTGTTTGTGGATGCGTTCTCGGACAAGTTCAAGGAGAACTTCCACACCAAGTGCGGCCTCAAGACCATGGACAAGCAGCGCGCCGTCCCCCGTGGTGCCTCTGAAGGCGCCCCTCGAGCAGCCCCTGCTTCCACTGCTGACCCCGTCGATCCAGCTCGTCGAGCTGTTGATGCTGTTGGCACTGCGTCCCCTGTCCCCAAGGCCAGGCCCGTCCTTCCGCCCCGACCCGTCGTCAAGGCCAAGACCCCTCCTCCGTCCCAGGCTCCCGTCCCTGCGATGAAACCCGAGGAGGCCCTCGCTATCCTCAAGCGAGAGGCTGACCGGGTGCAGTCCATCCTGTTCGAGGCACTCGTGGCCGACAACATGGATGCTGCCACCAAGGCCATGGTCCAGAAGATCGCCAAGTCCAATGTGGCAATCAGCCGTGCCACGGAGCAGCTCCGCAAGTCTGTTGCCAACAAGACTGCCACCCCCAAGACCCAGTCCCCCGGTTCCAAGACCCAGTCCTCCGGCTCCCTCCCTGGCTCTGCCCCTGTTTCCGCCCCGTCTCCCTCGTACAAGGCCGCTCTCTTGAAGAACGTTCGGGAGGCCGAGAGCCGTGTCGGCCGCATGTCCGAGGCCAGCCAGCTCGACGAATGGAAGAGGATGCTGACCACCGGCCGAATGCCAGGCTCCTCCAAGCCGATCCAGCCCAACCAGCACCGCCAGCCAGTCCTTGTCCCCGGGACGGTCGCCAACTCTGAGCTCCGGAACGACAAGTTCAGGGAGGCCGTCACCAACATGGACTGGCTGTACGTCGAGGGCATCCGCTGTGGCGACCTCGGCAGTGTCCGCCGCAACCTCAAGCGATGCGGCATCGACACCAGGGAGTTGGCCGAGATCAACTTCCCTGAGGCCACGGTCATGGAGGTCCTTGTCCGCGACAAATCCAACAAGGCCGACCTTGGTGCCCGTCTGGAGTCGCTGTCGTCCACACATGGCAGGGTCAGGGTCGTACCGGCCTACGACGTCATCCATGGTCTCAAGCACCATGGACTGGCCCTGTCCCGATCCGATGCCATCAAGAACTTTATGGCAAAGTCCCTCCGCCAGGCAGCCAAGGCCAAGACCGCCCCTGTCCGCCGCTGCATCCAGATGCGCATCCCCGAGGAGTACCGCGACGAGTACGACTCGCTCCTCAAGAAGGCCCTATCCGGCAAGGAGGTCAAGCGGGCGGACATCACCGCCGTCCCCAAGGTCCCTGGTTCTGCCGCTGCCGCTGCCTCGTCGTCTGCCTCTGCCGCTGCCGCTACCGCTGCCCCTGCCGTTGTCGTTGCTGTCGCTGCTGCTGCTGCCCCCGCCGCTGGTGCCTCGTCAAAGCCCAGCAAGCCTCACCCCGCCTACAGAGTCCCGCTGTCCGTCATGGACACTGACTCTGAAGGAGAGGGCCCCCGGGCCAGCAGCAGCGCTGCACGACTCCAATGAATCCACACCCCTCGCAGGGAGGCGGCAGGGCCCAGACATCCCTGACCGTCGCTTCCTTCAATGTCTGTGGCATCAACGTCAACGACGTTGAACTCAAGAACCTCATCGACACCAACGACATCGACTTTGTCGGTGTCCAAGAAACCCTCGCCGACCTCGAACCCCGCAGCCCTCTCTGTGGCTATGCCGTCAAGGTCCCTGGTCCCCGTTGCCGCGCCGGTAGAGGCATCGCCATCCTCTACAACCCGGCCAGGATCGACCCGCACGACTTCACCAACATTGAAGTCAGCGACAAGGGCGACGCCATGTGGGTGACATACAAACACGTCATCCACATCGGCAACTTCTACCTGTCCCCGAGCCTCAAGCTGGACGACTACCGCGAGGCCCTCCAGTCGATCCACACCAAGGCCGCCCTCCCCGACGCCCAGGTCATTGTGGTGGGTGACTTCAATGCCCACCTCAGTGCCCTGAGCGGACTGCCCACGCCGCTCCGTGGCAGGGAGAAGATCCTCGAGGACACTGTCTCCCGCGCCGGTCTCCGCGTTGTGCCTCCAGCTGTGATCCCGACCCACACCCGGCAGCGGGGTCCCAGCTGGACAACGATCGACTACATCTTTGTGTCGCATCGCCAGGCCAACAACGACCCGCTGCTGCAGGTCGACACTGCCGGTGCCTTCCGTGGCCAGTCCGACCACTTCCCCATCTGGGCGACTCTGCGGGTACAGCCAAAGTACTACCCAAAGGTCGACCAATGGCAGTGGAAGATCGCCCAGCTCGAGGATCCCGCCGTCCGCGCCCAGTACCTCTTGGCGCTGCTGGACGAGCGCGAACGCGGTCTGCAGCGCATACAGGCTGCACTCCGGCCAATCTCAAGGGGATCGGTCATTCCGATCTCGGAGAGTGCGGCCCAGGACTGCATCGACCGCGCCTGGTCCATCATGATCGCCCTGATCACCACCGCTGCCGACTCCACCATCGGCAAGGCTTCCATCAAGACCGTCTGGAAGGACCCGGCCCTGATCCCCGAGATGCGGCAGCTTCGCGAGAGGCGCCGCGATCTCATCTACCAGCTCAAGTTGCCCGGGCTCTCCCTCCGCGTCGCCGAGGACAAGCGCGCCGAACTCCGCGCTGTCCGCAAACAAGAAAAGAACCTCATCGTCCAGTCCCGCCGAGCAGCCGAGACCCTGGCCATGAACAAGCTGCACTCACTCAACGCTTCCGAGGTCGCCAAGTCCCTGGCCGCCATGAAGAAGCGCAAGGAGCTCGACGACGCCTTCCACTTTGACAACTCGGACGAGGCCCTCGAGCGACTTGTGGTCCACTACGGCAAGGTCTCCTCGCACTCCCAGGACACCCCCGGTGCCGCCTTTGACCGGACCGTCGGCCCAAGACCCCTGGACACTGTTCCGCGCCTGCTCCCCGAGGATCGATCCATTCCCCGCTTGTCGTCGGACGAGGTGGCCGATGCCATCGTCAAGTCCCCCAAGCGCAAGTCCTCCGGCCCGGACAAGATCAAGGCCGAGATGCTGCACCCTGTCGCTCCCGTGGTCGCTCCCTGGCTCCGGGCCATCCTGCTGGCCGCCCTCAAGGCCTCCGTCGTCCCGACCGAGTGGAACACTGTCCTGATCCACCCGGTCTACAAGAACAAGGGTTCGATCCTCGATCCGGCCATGTACCGGCCCATCGGGTTGACCCAGGTCCTCCGCAAGATCGCCGAGCGAGTCCTGCTGCCGTTCCTCACCCGCGAGATCGGCATCATGGACATTGCCCAGGGAGGCTTCCGCCCGGACCGAGGCACCCTCGACCAGGTGTACTCGCTCGACGCTCTTGTCCGCATGAACAAGATCTGCGACGACGAGTACAGCCTGGTCTTCCTCGACATCAAGGCCGCCTACGACACTGTCTGGCGGGAGCGCCTCTGGGACAAGATCGCCGCCCGAGGTGCTGGTCCGGTCGCCGTCGGGGTCCTCAGGGCCATGTTCGACCGCACTCTTGTCCGCGTCGCCAGCAAGGGCCGCACGTCACAGCCTGTGTGGCTGCAGAAGGGTCTCATCCAAGGCTCGGTCCTGAGTCCCCTTCTGTTCAGTGCCCACATTGACGACCTGCCTGGACTGCTCCGAGCCGAGGACGGACTTGTGCTTGCCTCCAGTCGCCACCACCGTCTCCGGGTCAACTCGCTCTGGTTTGCCGACGATGGTGTCCTCATCTGTCCGGCTGGCCGCACCCAGGCCATGCTGGACATCTGTGAGCGTCACAGTGTCGACAATCGCTACCGCTTCTCGCCTCCCAAGTGCGAGGTGCTGTACTCGGCCTGCAACGTCGACCAGCTCCATCCCGCCAAGCTGTACGGCACCGAAGCTGCCCAA